TCTGTTTACTCCCAGCTTCTTGTGTACGCACAGCCTCTTTGCTGCTGGGGCAGTATGAGAAGCTGAAAAGTCCTTGACTTAGTGTAAGCATTGCTCAGCAACTACTAAAACATCAGAGTATTATCAGCATTATTCTTACCCTAAATCCAAGACACAGCACCATACCAGCTACTTAGGAAGAAAATTAACCCTATCCCAGCCAAAACCAGGACAATAAATAAACACAAGAAAGTCCTTCCAATCAGAGAAGTGGAAGAGGGGTGAGGGAAGGAAGAAGGGGCCTGTGACTAGTGGAGACCTTTTCAGAAACAGTGTAGATCTAAATGATCTGGGAAAATCTCTTAAAAATGCTCTGTCCAAAACACTACCACCAGGGGGATGCTAAAACAATCTAATGATTCATCCTTGTCTATAAATACATTGACCCTTAGTAAAATGGCATTTAGTTTGGTCTTCGGGGCTGAAAGATGATGACTACAGATGAGTGAAGTAGAACAGGTTGCCCAGAGAGGTTGTGGATTTCCATTCTAGGAGCTGGTCAAAGCTTGACTGGACTAAATTAGTCCTGCTGGGAGCAAAGATTTGGACCTAGTGACTTTCACAGGACCTTTCTGTGATTCTAAGTAGAAAAATCTTAGTTGAATTTGTCTAGTGAAAGGGAAATTATTTTGTTCTTTGGGGTGCCTTTGTACTCATGCAATGAGGTTTTATCATAGCTGCTTTAAAATCCTGAAGAACTCCACTTTATTAGATTGAGGATATTTGAATTAATGGGGTTAATTTGAATTAATGGGGAAAATTGACTCTGTCCTAACTGAAACCAGGACACATTCACAGTACTTAATTTATGTTGAAAAACTTCTATTTTAGCATAAATAATACTTGTATGTTGTGGGTTAACCCCAGTAGACAGCTAAGCACAACACAGCTGCTTGCTCACTTTCCCAACCCCACCCCAGTGGGATGGTGGAAGAGGCAGAGGAAGAGTAAAAGCAAGAAAAAAAATGTAAAAATTGCTAAGCCCTAAACCCCACTCTTTACTGCTGAGCATGATGTTTATATGGCATGGAATATCTCTTTGGTTAGTTAGGGTCATCTGCTTGCTTGTGTCCCATCCCAAACTTTTGCCTGCCTCCGGACTATTTCCTTGGGGGGCAAAGTAAGAAACAGAGAGGGTGTTGACACTGTGCAAACACAGTTCAGACATAGCTAAAGCATTAGTGTGTTATCAGCATTGTTTCGGTCACAAATCTAAAACACAGCACCCTACCAGCTACTATGAAGAAAATTAACTCCATCCCAGCCAGACTGAGTACATTGATAATGGCAGAACAGAGCATTTATAAAACTAGGGCTTCTGTACCTCAGCCACAACTACAAATTTAAATAGAAATAACTTTATAAGAGCTTTTCTATGATGTGTTTGTGCTACAAGCACTTAATAAAGGCACTCTGCAGTGACATGAGTGTTTTCAGTTTATAGGAAACTATATTGAAACTTGTTGAACTTAGTGATATGGTGTTGAACTTAGCGATATGGTTTAGTGGAGGACTTGTTCGTGTTAGGTCAGAGGTTGGACTCAATGATCTTGAGGTCTCTTCCAACCTAGACAATTCTGTGATTCTGTGATTTATTATCCTTAAGTTGTCTTAGGTAGAATAGACTGGTGTTGCTTAGACTGATAAAAATAGAATCAAAGAATCATAGAATATCCCGAGTCGAAAGGGACCCATAAGGATCATTGAGTCCAACTCCTGGCATCACACAGGTCTACACAAAATTTTAGACCATGTGACTAAGCGCAGTCCAAAGGCTTCTTAAATTCAGACAGGCTCGGTGCAGTGACTACTTCACTGGGGAGCCTGTTCCAGTGTGCAACCACCCTCTTGGTGAAGAACCTCTTCCTGATATCCAGCCTGAACCTCCCCTGCCTCAGCTTGACATCATTCCCATGGGTCCTATCACTGGTGTTTACGGAGAATAGGTCAGCGCCTGCCCCTCCACTCCCCCTTGCAAGGAAGTTGTAAACTGCAATGAGGTCTCCCCTCAGCCTCTTCTTCTCCAGGCTGAACAGGCCCAGTGCCCTCAGCCACTCCTCATACGTCTTCCCCTCTAGGCCCTTCACCATCTTCATCACCCTCCTCTGGACACTCTCCAACAGTTTAACATACTTTTTGTACTGTGGTGCCCAGAACTGCACACAGTACTCGAGGTGAGGCCACACTAGCGCAGAGTAGAGCAGGACAATCACCTCCCTCGACCAACTAGCGATGCCGTGCTTGATGCATCCCAGGATACGGTTGGCCCTCCTGGCTGCCAGGGCACACTGCTGGCTCATATTCAACTTGCTGTCAAGCACAACCCCCAGATCCTTCTCTGCAGGGCTGCTCTCCAGCATCTCATCGCCCAGTCTGTATGTATCGCCAGGGTTGCCCCGTCCCAGGTGCAGGACCCGGCACTTGCCTTTGTTAAACTTCATGTGGTTGGTGATTGCCCAGCTCTCCAATCTGTCCAGATCTCTCTGCGAGGCCTTTCTACCCTCATCCGAGTCTACAACTCCTCTATATTTGGTGTCGTCGGCAAATTTTCTCAAAACACCTTCTAGTCCTACATCCAAATCGTTTATAAAAACATTGAAGAGGACTGGCCCTAAAATGGAGCCTTGAGGGACCCCACTAGTGACCATCCGCCAGCCAGATGTGGCTCCATTTACCACAACCCTTTGAGCCCTACCCATCAGCCAATTGCTCACCCATCTTCTGATGTTTTTGTTAAGTTGTATACTGAACATTTTGTTGGACCTTGCTGACTAGTTCCCTGAGCAGCCTGAAGTCTGCTTTCCCCATATCCAGGGCTGAAGTTTTGGTGGCAGTTTTCCTTCTGTCACCATAAATTCTAAACTCAAACACTTCATGGTTACTATGACCGAGATGGCCGCCAATTGCCATGTCCCCCAGAAGACCCTCTCTGTTCTCCAGCAACAGGTCTAGGAGGGCACCTTTCCTAGTTGGCTCCCTTAGCATCTGCACAAAGAAGTTATCATCTAGGTGCTTTATGAACCTCCTGGACTTGCTCGTGTCGGCCGTGTGGTGATCCCAGTTGATGTCTGGAAAGTTGAAGTCCCCCATAAGGACAACAGGAGTTGATCTCAAGGCATCTCTTAGTTCCACAAAGAATAATTCACCAACATTGTCGTCCTGGCCAGGTGGTCTGTGATAGACTCCCACAACAATATCCCCTTTATTTGTTCGTTCCTTAATCCTTACCCAGAGGATCTCAACTTTGCCATCGCCAACTTGAAGTTCCACACAGTCCAGCCCCTGCTTCACATACATCGCCACCCTGCCACCTCGCCTACCCTGCCTGTCCCTCCTGAGGAGCCTGTAACCATGTATTGTGACACACCAGCCACAGGACTCATCCCACCAGGTTTCGCTTATGCCGATATTCATGTTCAAGTCTATTGTGCTAAAATTACATGAAATACATGAATACAGAATAGGCATTTTTAGTATGTATTCATTTGTTTTTGTATACAGATTTGTAGATGCAGGTCTACATATTCATGTTTTGAATCAGGAGAAAATACATCTGTAAAATAGGTGAGTATCCAAAGCCTAGATGGAACTTCTGTAGCATTCATTAGTGTGCTCTGTTAATGGATGACAAATTAAAAAAAATGGATGTACAAAGTCCCAGTCCCACTTTCTTTTGATGTGGGCCAAAAATATGAAATTACACGAGGCCACAGAATTGAGACTTTTTTTTTTGAACTTTTACTGTTCGTGAAGGCAATTATCTAAAGAACTTTTTTTTTTTTTTTTCCAAGAGCCTTCTCTTCTCCAGGATGAACAACCCCAATTCTCTCAGCCTGCCTTCATAGGAGAGGTGCTCCAGCCCTCTGATCATCTTCATGGCCCTCCTCTGGACTCGTTCTAATACTTCCATGTCCTTCTTGTGCTGGGGGACCCCAGAGATGAACACAGTACTCTAGGTGGGGTCTCACAAGAGCAGAGTAGAAGGGGAGAATCAACTCCCTCAACCTGCTGGCCGTGCTCCTTTTGATGCAGCCCAGTGTATGGTTGACTTTCTGGGCTGCAAGCACACATTGCCATCTCATGTTGAGCTTCCCATCAACCAGCACCCCCAGGTCTTTCTCCTCAGATCTGCTCTTAACTCATTCTCCACCCTGCCTGGATTTGTGTTTAAGATTGCCTCAGGCCCCTTGCACTTGGCCTTGTTGAACTTCATCCTAAGAAGTACTTCAGAATTGTATCAAAATGAAGCATAATTTTAAAGTGTGAGAAATCCCTTAGAAACAGAACTGTATGCTTCACTTACATTTCAACTGTAATGCTAAATGTTTTTCAGGAGCAATTAAGTAATTTATGTAAAGGCTAACCCAAGGACATTAGGAAGAAATTTATCATTTGTAAGATTTTATGTCATAAGCTTTTGATTTGGGGAAATATTCTCAGGTTACCAATAGATTCCAGATTTACCTGGAACTATTTTAAAGATAATCTCTTTCAAAAAAATAAGGATTACTAGCACTTAAAGTTCAGGAAAGGCATAAAAATAAATAAGGTTCTTAAAACTTGAATTTGTTATTATGTCTTTTTTTTTATGCTTGCCTCTGTCTTGAACCACATGTATTTCAATACCCACGAGTTTGTTGGCTGAGCATAACTGTGCATAGTCAGTCTTTACAACATTACCTGTTACAGCTATCATGTTCATGACCTGTGTTTTAAGGAATAATTATGCTTATTATGCTTCCGTTATTGAGATTGCAAAAGGAAGCTGCCTACATATTTAACAGCTTACATATAAACTGTAATTGAGTCAGTTAGATACTACAAGATTCAAAACATGAAATGGATCTGTTTAGTAAATAAAATGGAATTGCATGTATTGATTTAATTTAAAAAAAATCACAACCAAATAAATTCATCTGTTGTTTTTTTTTTGGTTTTGTTTGTTTGTTTGTTTATTCTAGAATCGAATGGAAGAAAGCAAAGCACTCTTTAGAACAATTATTACATATCCATGGTTCCAGAATTCTTCAGTTATTCTGTTCTTAAATAAAAAAGATCTCTTAGAGGAGAAAATTTTGTACTCCCATCTAGTTGATTATTTCCCAGAGTATGATGGTAAGTATATTTCCACCAGAGCTCATGCTCCATTAACACTCCAGTAATGACAAATTATCCCCCAATTCTTCATTACATCCATGTTCTTCATTACAAACTGTACTTAGTACACCAAATGGTTAATTTGTAGTTGAGTGGCTTGCTGGTCATGTTTTCTTTTTAATTATATGAAAAGGAAAAATGATTAAAAATAACAGTTTTTAATAATTGAAATTTTTAAAGTCACTGAAATCTTGTGGTATTTTCTAGATTTCTAGAATTTCATTTCATAACTCCATTAACTGTGGATAGGATGGCAGTACCTTTCATGTGAAATTATTGCTTCTAGATGAGTAACAACATATTACCAATGAACCTTATTCTGTTCTTGTTCCTAAGTTGAGGTGAATGCTTGAAGTGAAGTATAAAGTTAAAAATAAATAAAAACACATTTCTTCTCATTTTTACTCATAGTCTTTTTTGAGGATTTTTGTTTGTTTGTTTAATCCTGTATATTTGAATAGAAGTGTCATAAATTCTCTGGGGATGTCAGAGAAACCAGTATCACTCCTCCCACACTTTCATTATGCCATTTCTTTCTTGTTTTCTTTATTTTACTTATGTAAAATGTAATGTGCTTGTCTCAGAAAACATTACGTGAAACATAGCTGTTCCTAAGGAAATTGTACTTTTATAAAGTTCTCCTCAGGTAAAAAGTAAGGTATTTTAAGATAATTTTTAGGAGTTGGTCTCAATGATCCTTCTGGATCCCTTCCAACTCAGGGTATTCTACGATTCTATGAACTGAGTGGAGTCTTTAGTAACAGGGGAAAAATCAAATTCATATAATAAAATCTCTTTTGTCTCACCAGAGAGTGAACAGCAAATTTGAAAGCTACAAAAATAAAAGATTAAATTTCTCATTTTCAAAACTAAAAAGTGATAATAGGAAAAAGTTACAGGTATTTTTCCTGTTTGAGAGGAAAGGATGTGTTCACAGTAAACAGCCTGGAGGATCAGCCAATACTTACTTATGAGTCACTCTAAGTTTTGTTTGATCATAGAATAAAATCATAGAATCATTTAGGTTGGAAAAGACCCTTTAGATCATCAAGTGCAACCATCACCTAACACTACCAACTCCACCACTAAACCATGTCCCTAAGCACCACATCCACACATCTCTTAAATACCTTCAGGGATGGTGACTCCACCACTTCCCTGGGTAGCCCATTCCAATGCCTAACCACCCTTTCCATTAAAAAAATCTTCCTGACATCCTATCTAAACATCCCCTAATGCATCCTATCTCTTGTCACCTGAGAAAAGAGACCAATACCCACCTTGCTGAAACCTCCTTTCAGGTAGTTGTAGAGAATAATGAGGTCTCCCCTCAGTCCCCTCTTCTCAAGACTAAACAACCCCAGTTCCGTCAGACGCTCCTTCATAAGACTTGTTCTCCAGACCCTTCACCAGATTTGTTGCTCTTCTCTAAATGCAAGTTCCAGCAAATCAATATCCTTCTTGTAGTGTGGGGTCCAAAAGTGAACACAGTACTGGAGGTGTGGTCTCACCAGTGCCGAGTACAGAGGGACAATCACTTCCCTAGCCCTGCTGGCCACACTATTTCTGATGCAGGCCAGGATGGCCTTCTTGGCTACCTGGGCACGCTGTTAGCTCATGTTCAGTTGGCTGTCGACCGACACCCCCAGGTCCTTTTCTGCTGGGCAAATTTCCAGCCACTCTTCCCCAAGTCATACTACTGCATGGGATTGTTATGACAATATGTTATGTCCTAGTGCAGGACCCGGCCCTTACCCTTGTTGAATGTCATGCAATTGGACTTGGCCCATTGATCTAGCCTTTCCAGATCCCTCTGCAGAGCCTTGCTACCTTCAAGCAGATCAACACTCTTGCCCAACTTCTTGTCATCTGCAAATTTACCGAGGATGCACTTGATCCCCTCATCCAGATCTTTAACAAAAATGTTAAATGTAACTGGCCTCAATACTGAGTCTTGGGAAACACCACTGATGACCAGCCACCAACTAGATTTAACTCCATTCACAATGACCTTTTCGGCCCGACTATCCAGGCAGTTTTTTTACCCAGCAGACAGTACATACTTTGAAGACATGAGCATCCAAGAGAAGGCTGTAGGAGACAGTATCAGATGCCTTGAGGTCACAGAACAGATTTTACAAAACTTTAATGTAGTAGTAATTTAGGATTTATTTTATACTTTTCTGGTAAATCACAAGAATAGATTGTATGATTCTTAACAGCACTTAATCAGCATTTAAGCATCAGCCAATTTAACACAATGATTTCAACAGAATTTGCTACAGTTGAAACAGCAACATAGTTAAAGATTCAAGAATGGCAAGTTTTGCCCAAGATTTACTGCAGCGGGGGGGGGGGGGGGTCTAAACTCAGTCTCACGCTTTCAAGATTCCCCCCTTTTAGTGAATCACTCACACTTCTCCCTCATCAACATTTGTCCACAGATGAGCTTTTATCCTTGAGGAGTCAGTCCTGAGAGACATCTCACCTCAGGGGTACCCTGAGAGGCATCCCAGATTGGTGGGAGATCAAGGGTCACGGCCTGCTGCGGTCCCTGGAGAGCTTGCTTGGGATCACTATAGGATTGCTAGATGATTGACTTTTAGTCAGAAATTTTCCAGAATTCATTTCTTTTTTTAATTTGACTATGATTCAACTTGTTCAACACACACACACACACACACCCATTTAGAAAATAATTGCGCCTTTCTCAATTAGTCATGTCACAGGGGCTTTGGATACATACATTCAGGGAGAGGCCTGCTGGTCCTGTGCCTGTAATGTATAAGTAACAGGGGAATGAGGCAGTGTCAGGCTTCACCACACTCTGTAGATAACAGAGGAATGATGCCATGATGGTTTTTCCTTGAATCATAGATAACAAAGGAATGATTCTGCACTATATTAGATAAAGTGATTGACTCGTAGTCAAACTCAGATTCCTTATCATGTCGATCTTGTTGAAGAAAATTATTGAGATCTTTCTCAGAAGATTAGACAAACTTCCTGTTACCATATTAGCAGGTATGTATAGTACATAGTATAACTTTTTATTCTTTGATCAATTTAGAGGGAATCAAACTTGTTGCTGTCCTGGTTTCAGCTAGGATAGAGTTAATTTTACTTCTAGTAAAGTAGGGTAAGGTAAAGTAGAATTCTAGTCTGGTAGGGTTCTGTGTTTGGGAGTTAGGATGAACATAATGCTGATATCACACTGATGTTTTAATTGTTGAGTTGCAAGGAAAAACAACTGCAAAAGGGTGAATCTTTGAGAAAATTGATGCTCCAATATCCAGCAGGAAATCCCCAAGACACAGTAATGAATATATGACCAGGATTAGAGGGGCCCTGCCTCCAGCCAGGGGAAGGAAAAGGACAGTCGTGTTTATTGGACTGTGTGGATTCAGTGGCCTGGCACGTCAGACCCACAAAAGTATAAGGCTTTAGTAGACACAGGCGCACAGTGTACTGTAATGCCATCAAGCTATAAAGGGCCAGAATCCATCTGTATTTATGGGGTGACAGGGGATCCCAGCAGTTAACTGTACTGGAGTATTGGAGGCTGAAGTGAGTCTAACTGGGAATGAATGGCAAAAGCACCCTACTGGGACTGCCGTGGAGGCTCCGTGCATCCTTGGCATAGACTCAGAAGAGGATACTTCAAGCACCCAAAAGGGTACCAGTGGGCCTTTGGCGTAGCAGCCTTGGAGATGGAGGACATTAAACAGTTGTCTACCTTGTCTACCTTGCCCAGTCTCTTGGAGGACCCTTCTGTTGTAGGGTTGCTGAGGGTTGAAGAACAGCAGGTGCCAATCGCTAACACAACAGTGCACGGGCAGCAATATCGCACCAACCAAGACTCCCTGATTCCCATCCATAAGCTAATTCATCTACTGGAAAGCCAAGGAGTGATCAGCAAATCTCATTCACTTTTTAATAGTCCCATATGGCCAGTGGGAAAGTCTCATGGTGAGTGAAAGCTAACAGTAGACTATCGGGGCCTGAATGAGGTCACACCACTGCTGAATGCTGCAGTGCCAGACATGCTACAACTCCAATACATACTGGAATCAAAGGCAGCCAAATGGTATGCCACAATTTATATGGCTAATGCATTTTTCTCCATCCCTTTAGCAGCAGAGTGCAGGCCACAGTTTGTTTTCACTTGGAGGGGTGTCCAATATACTTGGAATCAACTACCCCAGGGGTGGAAACACAGCCCTACCATTTGCCATGGACTGATCCAGTCTGCGCTGGAACAGGGGGAAGCTCCTGAACACCTGCAGTACATCGATGACATTATTGTGTGGGGTGACACAGCAGAGGAAGTTTCTAAGAATGGGAAGAAAATAGCCCAAATCCTTCTGAAGGCTGGTTTTGCCATAAAACAAAATAAAGTCAAAGGACCTGCACGAGAGATCCAGTTTTTAGAAATAAAATGGCAAGATAGAGGTCGTCAAATCCCAATGGATGTGATCAACAAAATAACAGCTATGTCTCCACCAACTAGCAAAAAAGAAACACAAACTTTCCTAGGTGTCTTGGGGTTTTGGAGAACGCACATTCCAATTTACAGTCTGATTGTAAACCCTCTCTACCAAGTAACCCATAAGAAGAATGATTTTGAATGGGGCCCTGAGCAATGACAAGCCTTTGAACAAATTAAACAGGAGACAGTCCATGCAGTAGCCCTTGGGCCAGTCCGAACAGGACCAGATGTAAAGAATGTGCTCTACACTGCAGCCAGGGAGAATGGCCCCACCTGGAACCACTGGCAGAAAGAACCTGGGGAAACTCGAGGTCGACCCCTTGGGTTTTGGAGTCAGGAATAGAGAGGATCTGAGGCCCTGTACACTCCAACTGAAAAAGATATATTGGCAGCATATGAAGTAGTTTGATCTGCTTTGGAAGTGGTTGGAACTGAAGCACAGCTCTTCCTGGCACCCCGACTGCCGGTACTGGGCTGGGTGTTAAAACGAAGGACCCCCTTTACACACCATGCAACTGATGCTACATGGAGCAAGTGGGTTGCACTGATTACTCAGCGGGCTCAAATAGAAACTCTAGTCGCCCAGGAATCCTGGAAGTAGTTGTGGACTGGCCAGAAGGCAAATATTTGGGGATATCGCCAGAGGAGGAGGTGGCCTGTGCTGAAGAAGCCGCAATGTATAACAAGCTACCAGAAAATGAGAAGCAATGTGCCCTGTTCCAGGATTCTGATGGGTCCTGTCGTATTGCAGGAAAGCATCAGTTGGCTGGAAACATCCTGTGCCCCATGCCACTGCCCAGAACACTATCTTGGGCCTTGAAAAGCAAGTCCTATGGCAACATGCCCCCCCTGAAATCACTGTCAGACAATGGGACGCATTTCCAAAACAACCTCGTAGACACTTGGGCCGAAAAGCATGATTTTGAGTGGGTATATCATATCCCCTATCATGCACCAGCCTCCGGGAAAGTTGAACGATATAATGAATTGTTAAAGACTACACTGAAGGCAATGGGTGCTGGGACATTCAAACACTGGGATACACATTTGGCAAAGGCCACCTGGTTAGTCAACACTAGGGGATCTGCCAGCCAAACTGGACCTCCGCAGTCAAACCTGTTACATCCTGTAGAAGGGGACAAAGTCCCTGTAGTGCATGTAAGAAACATGCTGGGGAAGACAGTCTGGGCTATTCCTGCCTCAGGAAAAGGCATCCCATTCATGGGATTGCTTTTGCGCAGGGACCTGGATGCACTTGGTGGGTAATGCAAAAGGATGGGGAGGCCCGGTGTGTACCTCAAGGGGATTTAATACTGGGTGAGAATAGCTCATGAGTTGAATTGTATCATGTTAATTATTATATAATACTGTATGTCATCTCCATTGCCCCAACCCAGGTGCAAGACCTTGCACTTGGCCTCGTTGAAATTCATGAGGGTCACACAGACCCACCTCTCAAGCCTGTCAAGGTCCCTCTGGATGGCATCCCTTCCCTCCAGCATGTCAACTGCACCACTTAGCTTGGTGTCATCTGCAAGTAGTACTATACAGAAAAGAACTATTTAGAAGAGAATTCAAGAGAATTGAAAATATTCTTGTCCTTTTGAGTTTATTTCATGTGACAGATGCCCTAGATGACGTCCAGCAGGTTAATCTTCACTTTTCTAGATTGACTCTTGTGTAAAGTAGAACATGTAGTTTGGTTACACAGACTTTGTGTTCTTCTGAGAATTACAGCCTTAATATAGATTTAATAGGATCATTATCTTATGCAGTTTAGATAACTGATTTGTTAGAACAGTAACATTTTGCAGTTGACCAGCTTCAGCTAGAAAGCATATTTTTTTTATCACTAATTAAATGAAATTCTATTGTAGTGTTAGGATATAACTTGTTTATGCTTTTTAAAAATACAGTTTAAATACAGTAGGTATAGAATGACAATTTAACAATTCTATTAATTTTATAATGATTTATTAGTATAATGTAACTAATATTTCTGTTGTTCATTTTGTGTGGTTACAGATCATCCAATTCATCTCTCCATTTTAAAAATTATTTTATGGAAGAAAGGATAGTAAGCAGGAAAAAAAAAAAAAAAAGCTCTTGCATGATCAACTTCTGGAATTTCATTCCATTTTTATTTTTAATGGTTCCTACTGGAAAAAAAATACTATATAATAGTATTTATTAGTAAAAATGTTCCCTTCTCTTATGTGAGGATCACACACTGGATCTTTCTTCTGTTTTCTGCTCCTAAGGTTCCCTCTTAAAGAAGCTCCAATTTTGAACTGACTGTAAGAAAACTGACTTTCTCTTCTTAATTATTAGGACCACAACGGGATGCACAAGCAGCACGAGAGTTCATCTTGAAGATGTTTGTAGACCTGAATCCAGACAGTGACAAAATTATCTACTCCCACTTCACATGTGCTACAGACACAGAGAATATACGCTTCGTCTTTGCTGCTGTCAAGGATACTATCCTACAGTTAAACCTGAAGGAGTACAACCTGGTTTAACTGTGCCAGGGAGGCCCTGCAAGATCACCTTTACGTGACTGAAGATACAGAAGAGGGACTGTATTATCTGTGAAAACAATTTGCATAATACTAATTTATTGCTGAAGTTATATTCACTCTGAATATCCACAGAGTTTGTAGTTAATATTATGTTTTTATTTAAACTATATGGAGAAAAAACAAAAGATGCTGAACTACATTCACAGCACATTTCCTTATCTTTTAGGCAAAGCCTCATGACTCAATGCGTTTTAAATTCTCAGTCATACTCGCACAAAGGATAAAGTTTTTTTGATACTGAAACAAAGTCAATCCGGTTTCCTCTTTCCCTGACCGTTTCTCTCTCCTTCCTTCCCTTCCCACTTTATGTTTCTAAAGGTATAATGGCCTTTTTTCCCAGTTGCATTTCTTGGTAAAATATTTTCTATTGAGTGATTTGGTCAGAAAAAATGTTATCATCAATATTTAAAATATCAGTTATTCTAATTTTACAAAATGTACTTTTTCTGAAGGATCAAAAGTATTGGTAGTATGACTTCTAAATTCTTGACATGGGTGTTTTCATTCTGTCTTCACTTCTGAGGCTAGAATATTGGGATTGCAAAATAGAATTACAGATGTGTATGGATGTAAAATTTAACCATGTTTTCACAGTTCAGAAAGATTCACAGAAGACAGTAATGAAATACCTAACACAAACCTAGGATGTACATGGAATATCACAGAATCTCTTTTTAATTGACATGTGCCGTTTTTTTCTCTTTTCTTTATTCACAGATGTCAAACAGAAATGTCACGAACACTACATTTTTCCCAGTAGCTACAGACTGAAACAGTGTGGGTTGTGGTTTTTTCAGTTGTGTGGTTTTTTTCTTAAGTTACAGCTTTTTAAAATTTGTTTTTCCACATTAGATTTTATATATATATATATATATATATATATATATATAAAATTAATCTTGCCAAATCTGTCTTTTTATAAAACTGATGTTTTGAAATATAAGATATTGAATGAAATACCAAAGTGATGGATTGGGAACTGACCTGATTGAGTCAACTGCCAAATGATAAACAAACAGTTTCAGTTCCTACAATCCCATTTTAGAAAGTGTTCCATTTTCTATTGCCAAAAACAACAGTGTGAATGAATATGATAATAGATACATGTGTATAAAAAACAGTTTAACTCCTTATGTCAGAGTTGACATGAGACTGCATACAACATGTTCTGTAATAATATCAAGGCATCTTTAGTTTTACAACATGAAATGCTTGTTCACTGGTTGCTTGTTCACTGAATCACAGACATTTGATAGGCTTAATATAAAAGCCTTGATATTCTTTAGAAAGAGCTATGAATATAAATGAAACATTGAGAAAATCACTCTATAAATTTAAACGTGCCATTTTTTAACAACAAAAATGCAGCACTCATTGATGAGTCTTTATTCTACAGCTTAAGTTGAAAGAAGGTGCTTTTTGACCAGGTGCATTATTGCTGGCAAGCTACAGAGGACTCAGATATGTAATTGGATTGTCTGCAATGCCAAGTAGCACTAGAGTGCACTTAACACAGAAATTGCTGCCTCTCAGCAGTGTAGGGGAAGTGGAAAAAAGAATGGCTTATTAGTTGAGTAACAAAGTTAACAATAAAGACTAATGAATTGTTTTTCATCCTTAACCCTCCCAGCTCCAAAACAACAATAAGAACAGCTGATACTTCTTTCTCCCTTATAAAACATCTTATAATTAAAATCTGGTTGTACATATATATATATATATGGCAGCATCCATGTTATCTTTGTAATTATTAATTTTTGGCAAATTGAATGTGCTGTGTTGATATGTATCTATGTAATTGTACTGTATGTCATAGCTAATTCACATTTTAAATAATGCTATTTTATTTACTTTTTAAGAGAAAATAATGTAAATTTTGTCAGTTTATTTCTGACTAGGGACTTGTTTTTATTTAAATATATATATATATAGTACAGAGTGGTACTGGCATCGTACTGTATAAAATTATTTGTACATTCCCGAGTAGAAATAAATTGTATACATGCAAAGGACATTGACATTCAAAACAATGCTTAAATCTTGTGAGGGCTTTATACAAATGTAGAAACCAGTTTTGTTGGAAGAACATATGCCATTATATCTAGGATTGGAAAATAAGCTCTTAAATATGAATTTGTATTTGGCAGAGTCAACTTTGATTAATTTTACCTTTCTAATGGCCTTTATTAGAAAAGTTAATTTAGAGACATTTCAAACCAGTGAACATAAGTACTAATGGGCATATGCTATTTCCCTAAAAATAATCATGAAAAAATACAGAACATCAGATCAATTAAACATTATTTCAGAAATTACAGAAAACTTGGATCTAGCAACAAAAAACTCATTAACGTTAACAATTTTAAGGAGTTAAAAATTTTATTTAAGAAAGCTAAAGCAGGTAGTTGTATGTTATAAAAAGTGACACTGACATTCTAAATAGGTGATCAGAGTAGTTAATGTTGTTATATATGGCATTATAAAATTGGTCCTGATCTTGCTTAAAAACATAAAGCTTCTGTGTCTACTATTAACTATGGAGTGCATGATAATATCCCTTCTTTTAACTTGGGAATATATTGGCCACCTTGGATTTAGTGATTTAAATAGAACTGTAGGAAAAAAAAAAAAAAAAGCAAAAAAAAAGCAAGTGGTGTCTTATGAAGGTTTGGTAGTTTTTTGTTTGTTTTGTTATGGGGTATTGGGGAAGGGGATGGGGTTTTATGTTTTGTATAAAAAATAAACAAAAGTTTTCTCATACATTATACTTATATTGTAATTGCAAAATTCAAGAGGTTGTGCCACCGGGCTACTTGTGGTATATTTTAAGTGAGCAAACCTGTGGCAATGATTAGATCATTTGAGCATAGTCTGAAAAAATATATATTCAGCATGCTAATGCAAGCTTTATATGAATCATCTAACAGCACTGCAGTGTAACAGTTTTTGCAAAAACATTTCCTTTTTAAATGACATAGCTGTTCCCACTTGCAATATATTCTGTTGTTGTTTTAATTGGTGGTTTCCAGTATGGGTTATAGCGCTTGAGTCCAGAAGTTTGTGCCAATAACATGAAACTGAAAGCAAACACAAGACACAAACCCTTTTACTTTATGTGATATGTGATTTCATTGAATGTCTTAAATGGGGTAGGAGGGAAGGAAAACATTTTGGGAACCTGAGTATTTTAGGTGTTTGTTAGCACAAGAAAGCTGTAATATGTGTTTTACAAATCCTTAAACTTGCTTTTTCACTAAGTAACTGGCACTGTAATGACATATATAGGATGATGTAGCTATAAGGGCAGTTTACTTCTTATCATTTAGACTCTTTTGATTGTCAAAGTATATGAAATGTCATTTTCAATTATACTGCCACATGATTGTGAAACACTTTTTTAAGTTTGAAAGTTGAGAAGAGACTTAATGCTGGCTATCAGTCAGAACTGACTACATAATTTGCAAAAACTTGAAATGGGAGGAAACGGTCTGCATATGAAGACATTGCTAGACTCCCAGCCTTTGGTTATAAAATGCAAAAGATTTTCAGATTTCTCAAACTAACGTCCCTTGCCTAGTTATGCATTCTTCACAAAACAATGAAATAACAAGAGAAAACATGAAACCAACATGAAAAAAAAATAAAATTTATCCAAATTATTTTATGTGCTGCTGTTCCTGGAGTGCTGTTCATGGTTACTGCATACTAGTCTATTAAAAAACTAATGAAGTGCGCACCATATATTAACAAGAGCTACAAATGACCTACCTCTAGTTAAGAAACCAATAAAGTAAATACGTTTTGGAGATAATGTCTCAACTTAGAAAATTAAAATAGCATGTTGTTAATTATTAATGACTATTTTAGACATTCATGCTTTTGTAAATACAGTCCTTTTGACATAAACACCTAAGGTCATCTGTCCCTGTCCAATTTGTTAGTTTAGCAGAGATCTTGCAAAACCATATGTTTTGGTTTAATAAGAAGAAGCACCGATATCTCCTCTTTTTTTTTTTTCTTTTATTTATCCATAATATTTTGAGTTGTATCAATTAAAGCAGACACTTACATGTAATCAGTAATCTATTGAGAGTCTTTATTTAACTAGTTAAATGTTTATTACTGTAACTTTCACTCAGTCTTTTTCACAGTAGCCATGCTGCAGGAAAGAAAGGAACAGAGGAATTATTTGGGCAAAGTTAATGTTGAAGATAGCGTCAAAAATACAAGAGAATTCAGACAGATCAATCTTACTGTAAAGCTGTTGTTTATTATTTCTCTCAAAAGATTGTCTAAGCTGAAGTCTATTTCTGGATTCCTCATTTACCATACTGAAGAAAATCCTTATTTGACCATTATATTTGTGGGGGTTATGAGAGACATTTTTAAACTTGCAGTGTTTTAAAAAAATAAAGATATTTGCTGTTCTTAAAGTGTCATTTAATCACAAGCCCTGTCTACTGTTTAGGGAACCAAAATAGAGTGCACTGTTTGTTTTTTTTTTGTTTGTTTGTTTTTGAAAAAAAATAATGTATAAAACTGTTGTTTAAAATTTTGCTCTTTAAAAATACAGTATTTTTGGCCATAAATTTGTACTATTACTATCTTAGATCTTTGACATATTTCTGAAATATATTTGGCCTTAATGTTCTCCCAAAATGTTTCTTATTATGATATATATTAGATAGATGCATTATTCCAATGACTTTTTTTTAAAAAAAAATTATACATGCTCCCTCCTCATTGTCCAAATATTAAAATTTCCTGATGTCCTAGTTTTGGCTAGGATATAGTTATTTTCCTCCTAATAGATGGTATGGTGCTGTGTTTTAGATTTAGGATGAGAATAACGTTGAAAACACACTGATGTTTTAATTGTTGCAGAACAGTGCTTACACCAAGCCAAGGACTTTTCAGCTTCCTCACTCTGTCCTGCAAACAGGCAGGCTGGGTGTGCATCAGGAGCTGGGAGGGGACAGACCCAGGACAGCTGACCCAAACTGGCCAAAGGGGTATTCCATACCATGTGTTGTCATGCTGAACAATTAATATGGGGTGGTTGGCCAGGGTGGGGAGACTGGCTGCTCGGGGATAGGCTGTGCATCGGTCAGCAGGTGGTGAGCAATTGCATTGTGCTTCTCTTGCTTTGTACATATTATTAGTAGTACAATTATTATAATTATTGTTATTGTTTTCCTTTCATTTCTGTCCTAATAAACTGTCTTTATCTCAACCCACAAGCTTTCACTTTTTTTTCAATTCTCTCCCCGATCCCACTTTGGGGGGGGAAGGATGAGCGAATGGCTCTGTGGTGCTTAGCTGCCGGTCGGGTTAAACCGCAACAGTCCTTTTGGTGCCCAATGTGGGGCACGAACGGTTGAGATAACGACAGATCTGAGCAGAGCATGTTAAACCAAAATTGTTATAAGCATTAGACCAGTTTAATAGTTGCTAATCACAATGTTGCTTTTTTTGATCTCAGGTCTGCTGTGCCTGTTTTGCAAACTGAGTTATATAGCACATTACTTACTGTATGTGTTCCCTGTCGTGCTCTTTATCCTTTCCAGGGGCTGATTTAAGGTTGTTATTTTCTGGTGCTGTGTAACACTGGCGCACAATGATAAAATTGCTTGTCCTGAGACTAGTCTGGTATTTGTATTCAGCATTGCCGTCAACTCCATACTTTGGGAACCATACCTCAGAAACTACTCAGGGGGAGATGTCTTTTCCCACTTGTCCACTCTCCCTTTCTCCTTCACCCTCTCCTCCTTCTCCAAACGAATTACGATAGCTTCTCAAAACTTTGAATATCCTTGGGATGTTCAGACCAGCATGTTCTTCATTCTGAATGCGCTACAGGTTTTGTTTAAAGTTAAACAACTACTTAAGAATGTCATCCAGAGATCTGTCCTGTGGCAGGGCAGTTAGGAGTGGCAGGGAGTGTGGGAGGATATGGAAGGATACTTTCTCAAAAACTTCTTCTGCTGTGTTTCCCCTTACGATGATATCATTGATGTACTGCAGGTGTTCAGGAGCATTCCCCTGTTCCAGTGTCATCTGGATCAGTCCATTGCAAATGGTAGGGCTGTGTTTCCACCCCTGGGGCAGTCGTTTCCAAGTATACTGAATGCCCCTCCAAGTGAAAGCAAACTGTGGCCTGCATGCTGCTGCCAGAGGGATGGAGAAAAATGCATTAGCAATATGGATTGTAGCATACCACTTAGCTGCCTTTGACTCTAGTTCATACTGGAGTTCTAGCATGTCTGGCACTGCAGCACTCAGCGGTGGCGTGACTTCATTCAGGCTTCGATAGTCCACTGTTAGCCTCCACTCGCCATTAGACTTTTGCACTGGCCTTATGGGGACTATTAAAGGGTGAACGAGTCTTGCTGATCACGCCTTGGCTCTCCAGATGATGAACTAAATCATGGATAGGAATCAGGGAGTCTCGGTGCGATATTGCCGTCGGTGCACCATTGTGGTAGCAATTGGTACCTGCTGTTCTTCAACCTCCAGCAATCCTACAACAGAAGGGTCTTCTGAAAGGCCAGGCAGGGTAGACAGCTGCCTAATCTTCTCTGTGCTCAAAGCAGCTATGCCAAAAGCCCACCGGTATCCTTTTGAATCCTTGAAGTACCCTCTCTTGAGGTAGTCTATGCCAAGGATGCATGGAGCCTCTGAGCCAGTCACAATGGGATGCTTTTGCCACTCGTTACCAGTTAGACTCACTTCAGCTTCCAGTACAGTTAGTTGTTGGGATCACCCTGTCACTCCAGAGATACAGATGAATTCTGTCCCTTGGTAGCCTGATGGCATTAAGGTACATTGTGCGCCAATGTCCACTAGAGCATTGTATTCTTGTAGTTCCGATGTGCCAGACCACTCTAGCATTCTTTTTATAAAAGGTTTATCTTGCAATGCAAAAAAGACTATTATTCCCCAGATCGGTGTTATAACTATTACTAATGACGACTTAGCTCTATTGCAGGGCAGGAGTGCAGAGACGCAGATTACACTGCCAAATGACCACCGGCAGGCTCTTTCACAAACCTAAGGTTGCAGCTGGCACTGCCTGCAGCCGTATAGCAGACGTTACACTCTCTTTCCTAACTAGTAATCATGTGTCTTATCCATTTGTGGTGAATGGTCAGTGGCAAAAAGAGAAGGAGGATGCCACTGACACTAACAGCATGGGTAATAGAAGTAGTATAAGTGACACAGGTGACGGTGCGGGGCGCTCTGCCTGCTTCTCGCCTTTGCCTGACTGTGCACTGCTGCCAACGGTGCTAGAGTAAAATGTGAAGATTGCTCAGATGGCAGTGATGAGAAGATGTGTGAAGAAGATGTGTGCTGAATCTGACTTTGTGTTCAACAGTGGTCAGTGTGTGCCAAACAGATGGCAGTGTGATGGGGATCCGGATTGTGAAGATGGGTCTGACGAAAGTGTTGAGCTGTGTCATATGAGAACAGTGTCATAGAAATGTGATGGTGAAAAAGACTGTGACAGTGGAGAAGATGAAGAGAATTGTGGCAATGTGACTTGTAGTGCAGCAGAGTTCACATGCAGTAGTGGACAATGTATTTCCAAAAGATTTGTCTGCAATGGTCAAGGTGACTGCTCTGACCACTCGGATGAATCTTTGGAGCAGTGTGGCTGCCAGCCTGCACCTCTGGTGAAGTGTTCTGTGAGTGAGGTGCAGTGCGGCTCAGGTGAATGTATCCACAGGAAGTGGTGATGTGACAGAGATCCTTATTGCAAGGATGGAAGTGATGAAATTAACTGCCCTTCCTGGACCAGTTCAAATGTGAAGATGGGAACTGTGTCCATGGGAGTAGGCAGTGCAGTGGTGTGAGAGACTGTCTGGATGGCACTGATGAAGCAAACTGTAACAGTGTTATTCAGTGCTCTGGACCTGGCAAATTCAAGTGCAGAAGTGGAGAATGCATAGATATCAATAAAGTGTGTAACCAGCAGAGTGACTGCAAGGACTGGGGTGATGAGCCCCTGAAGGAATGCAACATAAAAGAATGTGACTGTCCAGCTGGGAAACTGTGGAGATATTGATGAATGCCAAAACCCTGGTATCTGTAGTCAAATCTGTATCAACCTGAAAGGCTATCAGATGAATCCTGCTACAGGAACCTGGAAAGGGCCATACGGCAAAGCAAATTAGATAACTGTTATTTAACTTGTCAGAAGATAAAAAAGAAAGTGTTTCAACAAGCAGCCACGGGAGGGAAGAATCACTGAACCCTCGATGTGAGGGACTGTACCTTGTTTTACTGACTACTGAAACAGCTGTGAGAACCTCAGAAAGGGACCCATGCATCCAGAATAAAAGGACCAGTAACTACTGAAACTTGGAGGGTTGAGACCGCTCCTGGGAAACTGAAACTCGAGCTAAGGAAGAACTAATATTCTTAGTGGCTGAAATATCACTCCATCTAGATGAGGGGGAATATGCTTGTTCTACGAGGTGGTCAAGTCTTTCAGACAGTTTCTCCACAGCTGAGACACAGGAATGTAGTGGAGCAGAGAGATTGTCTTCATATTTTTGAAGCTGGCAGGACAGATTATGCACTGTTGGTCCCATCCCCTCATCCCAGTTAATTACTGCCAGTGTACTGGCATGTGCTGATGGTGCACTCCGCACAAATTTACACCACATGGATGTTGCGCACTGGACTTCATCGGGGTCTTGAGGTGTCTGGGCATTGTCCAAATCACTATAAATCATCTCCCGCACAGCTAATTCCCGCAGATGCTGGAGACCTTTCTCCATAGTGGTCCACTTGCCTACTTGATACACAATATCTTCCTTATGGGGATATCTTTCTCTCACAGCTGCCAGGAGTCGTCTCCAGAGGCTGAGGGCCTGTGCTCCTCTCCCAATTACTTTGTCAATTACCATTTCTCTAGAGAGGGATCCCAGCTGCTTGGCTTCATTGCCTTTTAATTGTTGGCTATTGGCCCCAGCATCCCAGCATCGAAGCAGCCAGGTGAGGATGTGTTCACCTGGGCGTCGACCATAATCCTTTCGTATTTCTCGCAACTCACTCAGGGATAGGGATCGAGTGGTTTCTGATTCCTTTATGATTTCCATCTCTTCTTCATGATGTTTTTGTGATGGCTCTGCTTTAGAGGTGCTTGCCATTTCCTCTTCTCCCTCCTTCTTAGGAGAGGCTTCTTCCCTTACTAAATGAGCTGACTTCTGTTTCCATTGTTTTGACTTGACTATGGGGGTGACTGATACCATAGCTGGTTGGTCCTCTGGGTCAGCCACAGCATGTGTTATTTGGACATCAGACTCAGAAACTTCCTCCCTCTCTTCAAGGTGATGGATTATGTTAAATAGTGTTTGATAGGAGTAAGCCAGGACCCAGCACAATGCTACAAGCTGTCGTTCTCCGGCATTATCAGGGTCAGGACATA